CAAACCCGACATTCAACATGATTGCCTTTTTCCAGCTTCTTGACGTGCTTCCTCAAAAAATGCCTACTTAAAGAACCGGGATTTGCATATGACACAACCCTCTCACGCGTTGTTAGATTCGGATTTCCAACGCATAGGAAACACATGGTTGGCCTCTTGTCTGTCTTGATCGATAATACCGCCTTGCGCAATATACTTTCCGACGATAGTGCTATTAAGTTTTCGGGTTTGACGGTCATGTCGTTTGCGGGTTGACCTATTTGAACACGACGGCTGGGTGTCCCCTCCTCCACGCCACAGTATGCGGTCACAGCATTGATAGCTGTGATCCTCCGTTGGTGTTCCTTTTCTAGCGTCGTCTCGGGCAGATTCAATATAGAGTCTATTAGGAGGAGCTGTTCCGGCGTCATTTGATCTGACCGCTGTAATGCCTCTCGAGTCTCCTCGTGGACTACCTTTCCGGACAACTGTCGCTCGCTATCGATCACAGGCTGCTCCTTCTTAAATCGGTCTACAATCTGGACAAGCAACTTCCTCCGCTGCCGCTGTTTCTCATTTGTGACGCGTCGACAGGCTTTCTGGTGCTTCTCGTTACTCTGAGTATCCAGTGGAGCTTCTGCAAATTTTTTCGCCCGCCCAATTAATTTGACAATACATGGCAGGCGATTGACAGATGTGGAATGCTTTGTGGTCAACTTGCATGGACGGCGGGGATCAATTGACCGGCTCATTGAACATGCAAATCTCATCAAATCCTTCTCTGGCTTCATACCACGGTAAATCTTAGCAACATCGGCAGTGATCCTTCGATCGAGGTAGTGTTTGAGGAAAGTATCGATGCTAGAATGTTGTAGGATCAGATTCTGTAGGGACTCGCTAACATCCGCTATGAGGGCCATACTATATTAGTATGAAAACTATGATGTAGGAGTATTGGCACTTACGGCTCTCGTTCAAGGCCTTTGCGGCCCCATCACGGAGTTTATAAGGCCCTGTCACAGCAGCAAAGCCGGTGATCTGACCACCTATCTTCATCCGGTAGCGTACTGAATCCGAGGTGACCTGTACTTTATGAGCAATGCGGACGCCGTGCGCTTCACGGACAGCCTGACAGAAGATAAAATTATCATCCAGCTCCTCTTTCAACGGCAACGGTTGCTCATTTGTTCCATCCAGGACCTCGAGGCTATATAGCTTCTCTGGGGAAATAATACTCGGGGACTTGAAGGCTTGGATTTTGAATAGCATGCCAAGTAGGAAGACGTGAGGGCTAGGTACTAGAGTTGGGTCGAAGATAATCTCCGGGATGGGGAAGGTATTGCTTAAGGGTTAGTTAGTAGACTAAAGCAAAAATATAAGCAGACTTCACGTACGCGTCTTTCGAGCCGAGATAGCCCTTCGTATACTCAGCTGTTAGCTCAATAAAGAGTCGAGGACGGCTTCCATTTGGGTCTCGGATCAGGTTAAATTTGAAATGTCGAAAACGGAGATTCACAAGCGCCTCTGGTCGATTACCAGTTATCCCTGCGAGCTGGCAAAACAAAATCAGTTGAATGCGAAGCCAGCCGATCTCGAAAGTCATCTCTCTTGTAGCAAGGAGTACGCGAGCAAACTCGGCCAGATCTTCGACATACATCGTAGCGCTCTCCCGCTTTGTATTGGCCAGGTCCTTTTCGTCAGCCACAAGCCTAATAACCTAAAGGTTACGTTAGCTTTAGATTCTAGATAATGAGAAGAGAATTGAAAGATATGCTTACATCTTGACCTTGAAGTTGGACCATATCATCAATCTTCCGACCAGTCTCGCACTTGTATACTAGCTGGTACCATTTACAGAACTTTCCTAGAGAGCTTGTATGTTTGATTCCAGGTCGCCTTCGTCCGCCCTTCCCCCGTCGTTGGTAGCAAACCCAGCTGAAGAAACCATGAAGGAATTCGGCCGAGACCGTATTGAAGCATTGAAACGGATCTTGTCTAATAAATGTACAGTAGCTACAGATAGAGTGAGGTTAGCACAAGTTTCCTAAAATTGATCTATATCTAGTTCATACCAATCGTGCTGCTCCTTCACCCAGTCAAGCCGATCTTGGGTATTGGGACTGTACCGACGTGACCTGAGCCGCCGTACATCGAGCTTTGCTGCCGCAGCAAGGTAATATTCTGGAGGGCGCCGGACTTCGTCCTCGAAAGGCGAGGCATCATCTTCTGTGTCGCTGACGGGCTCAGCTGCCACGCTTGTAAGGTTGGAAACTTTGGTAACGTCAGGCTCATCGTCGCAGCTATCGAACAAGCTGTCTGCCTCAGTATCAGCTATGCTGCGCGTCTCATCGTCGCTGGACTGGTAGCCTTCCTCGTAGTGTCGCTGGAGAATTGAGATGCAAGGCACGATGAACGAGCTATGCGGTAGGCGAGAATATAGTTGGTGACAGATCGAAAGGTGTGCCGATTGGCAGCGATCGACTGAGGAGGGCGGAGAGCGGGGTGGGAGATAGAGGGGTGGTTGAGGAAGCAAGAAACCTCGAGGGAGTGATGAGCACAAGAGGGAACCGGCGAGGGGCGATGGCCGTTTTTATAGGCATCTCGAGAATGAATTTGGTTAACATAGCGAAGGCTGTTTAGGAGAGAGCTTCTTCTGGCTTTGTAGAGCCCCTCTAGAAACGGGGGCATAATAAGCGGGGGTGATGACTGTGATGGGCATGAGAAGATGAAGAGGGAGGCGCGCAGCGACCAAAAGGTGCACTGTGCTCGGTGGCCGCATCAAAGGGCAGAGGTGCGGGATTATCCGAAAGCTGGTTAGCAGACCCCTCAAAGCAGCTGTCCAACCCCCTCGAAAACAGTACCCTTCTAACCGTTACACCGTGTAATAGAGTATAAAATCGAACGTAGGAGTAACTTATAATATCTATAGTATAGGACCTAAGTGTAACGAATACTCAAACTGGCTAACTAAACTGGGCTGGGTGTTCGCTGGTTGGTATGCTATGATAAGAAGAAGACTATCGGGTTGTTCACTTGGAAGTGAACTCGTTACTTGTATCAAAGATGTCAAACTAATATGATAAGATTGATAACTAAGTTGAGCACGAAGCTCCTATATAATGGCAGACGTGCCAGTCTTATATAGAACCTCTGTTCTCCACTGGATCATATGGATCATGGTAACAACTTACTGATCCTGAAGTGAACTCGTTACTTGTATCAAAGATGTCAAACTAATATGATAAGATTGATAACTAAGTTGAGCACGAAGCTCCTATATAATGGCAGACGTGCCAGTCTTATATAGAACCTCTGTTCTCCACTGGATCATATGGATCATGGTAACAACTTACTGATCCTACTGATCCGTTCCTCTGGATCTACTGGATCACTTGGATCATTCGATGATCCTGCTGATCTGACTGATCCAATCACGTGATAACGAGCTCTATGAAATCCTTGGATACTCAGCTAGCCTGAGTAACCATCCAATATGTTATAACTACTTCGAGGTGTGTTTGTTCTGTCAGGACTCCTCCTCCTCCTCCTCTATAGAGTTTATTAAAGAAGGTCTTTTAGTAGTAGTAGTAGAAGAGGTTATTTGGTAGTAGAAGAGGTTATTTAGTAGTAGAAGAGGTTTATATAAAGGGGGGGAGGGGTAGAGTTAAAAAAGTATTCGAGTTAAATTCGAGGGTAGGAGTATTCAAGTTAAATTTAAGAGAAGGAGCGTTATAGATAAATTCAAGGGTAAGAGTATTCGAGTTAAATTTAAGCTTATTTACTTATATCAAGTACTTTTACCTTTAATTCTAGTACTATTATATAACCCTAACCCTGAGCTAGTTTATAATTTGCGAATTACGATTTCGTATTAAATAGGATTGAAATTTAAGATTTACGATTTACGAATTAGTATTAAGTCTATTCGGCCTTTTAGTACATTCAGGATGCCGTAGAAGAACAGGGTTTGCTGCATGCAGCCCGATATGATATCTGTTTCCCAACAAGTACACAGAAGTATAACATAATAAAGAAAAAGAAACAAATCAAAATCAACCACTCTCGTTATCTTTCGATATACTTAAGTTCAGTGAAGATATTTTTTGCTTCTTACTTAACGCAACCGCATCTGTTTTGGATCACAGCGATTTAGAATCATAACATCATAGGATGCTCATGGTCAAAAGGCTCAACTATTGAAATTGCTAATCAGGTTTAGGCTCAGAGGTCGCTATGAATCACACCAGCTTATCCAAAACCACAAAGCAAGTATCATCTGATATTTTGATGTTTTGGATTTTGCAACATGCTTGGATATCAACAAATCGCTCAGACAACTCCCTCAGTCTGCTTCGTTGTCTGCGTCATTGGAATTGTCTCCTTTTTTGTGTGAACTTTCCCACACCCGAGAAAAGTCCGCGCGGTTCAAAAAACCTTCGTTGTAACGCTGAGTAGGCGGATTAGCCGCTGGAGCCGGACTGGGACCATCGGACAATCTAAGTTCCTGGCCTGATTCTTCAACGATGGATGAAATCTGAGGGTCTTCAAATCTGGCAGGTTCTGGCGCACTTTCCGCAACTGATAGGGATTCGAAATCCATCTCATCTGGCTGTATTTGAGGCGCTTCCCTTGGTGTCTCCTTATGCGAAGCGGACATGGTATTGTTTTGGGGCTTTCCTTCACGGGTTTCGAGAACCATCCTGTTTGAATTTGCAATACGACGCTTTTTGGGCCTTGCCAACCTTCGACCCACTCGACTTCCTGCAGGAGGTATCCTGTATGGTTCCTGATCCGACGATCCTGAAAAGTGTTTCCTGGAGAGCAGTTAGCAAGCGATGAATAATGAGTAACCGCCAAATATACCGTTTCTTGATCAACGCATTTAGACTTGGGCTTGAACTGTGTCGTCTCATTTGCTTCTTTTGCAGGAAGTCTTCAGCTGAGTATTGGTGCTGCATCTGTCGAGTTTGTCGTGCAAAGAACATTCCACGATTGATGTTACTGAGGCTGCCCCTTCTTTGCTGGATTCTTGGAGAAGACATATGCCCAGGGCTTTTATTAGACAGGTTATGCTTCCGACGAAGCCTGAGGTGCTCGAAGCCGCGAGAACGTTTACGTTCATAGTATTTCGCTACATGATCTACGGTATCTGGTCTCCAGCAGTCAGCCATTCGATGGCACAGCTCGTAAGCTTCGAGGAGTTGCGGATCGTTCTCGAATTTGTCCCAGATATCTTCGCATTGGGAGAAGAAGGGATTGAATAAATCCGACCACCTGAAATTCGTTAGTTTTATGAGCAACGTCATTGTTGTCGAAGTAAATCGCACATATCTTGCCTTCGATACTCACGGAGGAGGTCCTGGTCTGGCATGATTAGGGAATGTGAATTATGGTAGCTTTTTCTCAGCCCTCGAGTTCCGTTATTCATACTTAGAAATACGACGGACACGACCCGGTGGTGCAATTTATCCAAAGAAGGGCGCTGAGGAGGTTTTAAGCATCTAGGTATACGTCTACTGATAGCGTAACGCCTTGTAAACACAGGCAAGAGCGAGCATAAATTTTGAGTTCCGACAACAGTTTTGCAGAAGAGGAAAGAACAACCCATAGAACCTGATATCATACAAGGAAAGAGAAAAGCAAGGATTCTTTCCTACCAGCATACTTCACTTCAAACGATCTGTTCGTTCCATTTATTCAGAGTAATCAAAATGACCGACCTCAGTTAGATCAAAGAATGAATGTATGAGACCAACCTACTCTCATAAAAAGAGAAAAAGAACCCCCGCTAATGCCTTGCCCGCCGAGGAGAGCCTACTGATAGATCCAAAGCAATAAGTAGATAATGCTGCGGCAATTGGTGGTCCCAACTAGCTTTTGGAAGGGATAAGAAAAACTACTCTGACAGCGCTTGATCTTAACAAGTAACAAGTGATTCAAAAAAAATTAAAAAAATACAATTGGTCCCTTCTGGGGATTTTGGCACAATACCATTCCGCAGATGTTGGTCAGGCGGACGATAAAAGATGACTTGGATATTGACATGTGAATTGACCTTCAGTCAGGCGCTCTAGTAACAACTCGTCGAGGGAGAATGCCTAACTTATAAAAGTTCAGACTCCTGCAGACACTTGACTTGCATACAGGCGATCGCTGAACATATATTTCAGGCCACTCAAAAGAATCGAATTTAGAGTCAGACCAGATAATAGAAGTAAACCGCTTGATTTATTGCTCTGTGACGCAAAAGACTCATAGAAAACGCTCCTCATACCCGAGGAAACCCCAAACAAAACCACACACACTCTCCACAAAACCGAAAACTCGAAAAAGGGGGGTATCACACTCAAGAACCTCCACAAAAAAACCAGACCTCACTCCTTCCCCCCAAACGCCCCCTCCTTCTCCATCGTCTTCCCAATCCACTCCCTCAACGCCCTAAACCTCTCCACCCCACCTCCCTCCCCCGTCACCGCCTTACTAACCCCATCCTGTTCCCTCATAAACGTCGCCAAATTCCTCCCAAACCTCTCCCTCTCCACCTTCTCCACCTTCCCCCTCCTCTTCATACTCCCCTTGCCACTCGTCAAACTCTTCATCGCGACCTTGCCTAGCTCCGCATCGCCCTTCTTCGAGGACTCGACCAAGTCCGGGAGCGCATCGCCGAGGGATTCGAGGGTGGTGACAAGCTTCTTTGAGGGTCGACGTCGCTTGAGGGGTTTCTTGGTGCTGGATTTGGAGATGCGGTTTAGGAAGGTGGAGGATTTGATGAGGCGCTTGTCTTTTTTTGTGGATGGGAAGGAGGAGGAGGTGGTGGGTTCTTTGGGTTCCGGGCGGGATATGAGGCCGGAGCCTGAGCGTGGTTTGGAGGCTGTTTTGGACCGGATTGAGGGTCGTTTTTTGGGGGCTGTTGGGGCCTTGGATGGTTGTGTTAGTTGGGTAGGTGGTTAGGGTTGAATTGGGGGTGAGCTTACCATGGTTGTGTAGGTGTAGTCAATTGTGTTTCTGATGCGTGATTCCGACTCTCTGATGATGCTCTGATAAGATGTTGAATTGTGTTGTACCTACAGGTAGGAAGGGTATGGTATGTTGTTGCGGTAACGAATCAGACGATCCGTGAATTGAAAATCTGGGGAAGGTCTAGCGAGCCAGCACCCCAGAAAGCGCAACCAGTTATTTTAAGCACAAGCACAACTTTCACAACCCCCACCATAGCAAATTCATCCCACCATGGAATCAGCCAACTCCATCGCCGCAACTCTAAGATTGCAAATCACCGCCACGGAAAAGCGCCTTGCTAGTCTAAAGCAACAACTTGCTGATATTGAAGAAAAGTCCGCCGAAAATGTATCAGTTTCCCCTGAGGTTCCCGTGACTCAGAAGACGAAATGGCCGTTATCTGCAGAGGAGTATAAGAGATATGGTAGACAGATGATAGTTCCTAATGCTGGGCTTAAAGGTACTACATTATTTTCTATCACTAGTTCTCAGTCTAAATTCTTACTAGGACAATTACGACTCAAATCCGCATCTGTTCTCATCATCGGAGCAGGAGGCCTCGGTTGTCCATCCTCTGCCTACCTCGCTGGAGCAGGCGTGGGAACAATAGGGATAGTCGATGGAGACACCGTAGAAATCTCGAATCTACATCGTCAAATACTGCACAACACATCCACAGTCGGATTGAAGAAAGTCGACAGCGTAATATCATATTTAAAAAAGTATTCTTCCTCCACTTAAACCCCATCCAGCAACTAACAAAAAAAAGTCTAAACCCAAATGCAACATACATCCCATACGACATCCATCTCACACCTCAAAACGCAGAAGAGATAGTATCAAACTATGATCTGGTACTAGACTGTACAGACCACCCCACCTCCCGCTACCTCATCTCAGACGCCTGCGTCCTGCTCTCCAAACCTCTCGTGTCCGCCTCAGCACTCCGTACAGACGGCCAACTGATCGTCCTCAACTCGCCACCACTCCCAGTCGGGAATCCAGAAGGAGGTCCCTGTTACCGCTGCGTATTCCCTAAACCACCACCAGCAGCAAGCGTCGTAAGCTGCGGCGACGGCGGAATCATCGGGCCCGTCGTGGGAGTTATGGGAGTCTTGCAAGCCTTGGAAGCCATCAAGTTGATTGTGAGCGGGAAGCTGAAAGGAGATGGTGAGCCTGTGGCAAGCAGTATGCTTCTATTCTCCGCCAACGGAAATCCGCAATTCAGAAGTCTGAGGATGAGAGCAAGGAGTCCGAAATGTGCTGCTTGCTCAGAAAATGCTGAGTTGACGCTGAAGAACTTGCCAGAAATGGATTATGCGTTTTTCTGTGGTCTTACAGCACCTGTCAATATTTTGGAAGCGGAAGAAAGAATTGAGGCAAAGGAGTATGAAAAGCTGAGTAAAGGGACCAAACAACATTTGTTGCTTGATGTGAGAGATAAGGTGCAATTCGATATCTGCAATCTAGAGGGCTCGATCAATGTTCCATTTTCCACATTTCAAGGAGGTCGGCCTCTATCCCAAGAAGGGGAACAGCCATCGTGGTTACCCGAGAGCTTTGCGCCAGACTCACCAATCTATGTCGTATGTAGGCTTGGAAACGACAGCCAAGTTGTGACGAGGAAGCTCAAGGAAAGCGGGCTGGGAACTCGAGAAATCAAAGACATAAGGGGAGGACTGAAATCTTGGAAAGAGCAAGTGGACGATTCATGGCCTGAGTACTGAAGACGTGGAGTACATTGCAATGAAAGTAGGATTTGGTATTCTTTGTATACGGATTGGGCCAGTAGTACAAGAGGGAGAGGTTCACATAAAGGCCTGAGTTGTGTAGCATATCCTAGCATACATCATCATTACCCCCACCTAACAAAAGAAAATTATTGCATAGAGTCGACGGACCGTCATGTCCTCCTATTATCTTCGTATCACACAGCGTAAATTCCTCAAAAGCTTGTATGTCGTTTCCTGTTGAATGCTCGCTGGTCCTTCAGCCAATGTCGGTATTCCGTCACACTTCCAATCTTCTCGCCGTAGTAATCTAATATTCTCGTCAGCTTCATACTACAACTCGAAATTTGATTTAGCCTGTAGCTATCCAACCAAACGTACCAGGGACTGGATTCGCCACTGAGCTAGTGCTTGGATCAACACGGAACTTCTTAATCCTCGCATAAAACTCCCTCTCCCTCTCATCAATCTGCTTCCGGTACTTGTTATTATGCAAATTGAACGCCGCCGTTCCCACAAACGGACCCGCCAACCAACCCAGGCCCCCGCAGGCAAAGGTAATCAGACCAAACGAGATAAACGGGTCGAGCGGGATCTGCGCAGATAGCTTATCCATGTCCGTCGTAGTCAACAATTGCGCGCCGGTGACGAAGGCCGTGGCACTGGAGCCGATGGACGAGGCGAGTTGATAGCGACGGCGCTTCTTCCGTAGCTTGAAGAAGGTATTCCAGTTTAGGTGCTCGGGTGGTGTTTGGTCTTGCTCGGGGTCATTGGGTGAAGGGGTGGTGATTGTGGAAGCGGATCGTGTTGAAGGAGGGGTCAAATTGGGTCTCTGGAATGAAATGTGACGTTTTGCGACGGGGACTCGTCTTGGGACTGGGTTGGAGGCATCCTGTGCTTCACGCGGGGTCACGGAGGTGGTGTGGTATGGATTGGGTACGAGGAGGGATGCTGGAATACGACAGCCCAGTGCTGCGGTACGGATCGTGGGCGCTGTATACAGCATGGCGGGGGCGGGGTGGTGGTGCTTGCTACAGTATGGGATTTGCGTTGACGTGAAGATATTCGCATGAGGTTTTCCACTCCACAATACAGGTAGGTACCCACTTTCGAAATCTTGGCATGTCTCCACCTGCACCTGCTAAGGCAAGCCACACCTCCACTGCAGTGGCTGAAGCTGGCAATTGTGGCCAATCACAGCCGCCGCGGGGTTGAGCTTCTCCTCCTTCCCACCTTACTTCTTTCCAAACCTCACTCCTCTACCAAGTTGGTATACTTCAACTCCAGCCTCTCTTCGCATCTAATTCTTTCAATCCCTCTGTGCAAACCCTTTCGGTATATCTGCTTGAGTCACGGACGGAGTACTACTCGGGTCCGGGGCCATCTCTCAACTATCAAACTGGACAATTCCTCGTAGATCGAAGCACGACGATATCGATCTTGCGGGATTAACAAATCAGATCCTCGCCTTCACTTTCGCTCTTATGCTTCCTAGTTGATCTTCTCGCCTATTGGAGGTTAACAAGTCCACCTGCACCTACAGGCCAGGTAGCGGGCAGCCTGCTCACCACGTGAAGAAACACCCGTGGACCCCGGCCTGGAGAGGATCACGGGACAACTTCAGATCAGAGTACCTCCGTACCTTGCATAAGTTCCTGTTGAGCCATTTACCAGAAGGTCACCAACGGCCACAACTTCAAACGAGAGCATGGCTGACAACTCCAACCATCAATCCAGTCCTGGTATAGGCGAGGATAAAATGCCCTCATCATCAAAGTCATATTTTGATTTTGTAGTCGCGAAACGACCCGTTTACGTTCCTAACTCTGGCCCGCCATTGCAGCCGATTTCACTCCTACTCCCTCACGACAAGCCGATGCTGATCCAAGCCGAGATCCAACTTAGTGAAGACCCAGGTCGGTGGGTGTACCAAGTGTACGACCCAGAAAAACCCGGCCTTAGGGTCAGCGTTAGACCAGAAAAGATACTTGACTGGGTATCCCCTCGAACCCTGGAGAATTGGGAGCTCGACAAACCAGCTCGTCAGGAAAGAGAGCGCGAGGAATTAAAACAGGAGAAATTAGCAGAGGCGGCAAAACGCAGGTCGAAGAAGTTGAAGAAGAAGAAGAAGAAGAAGTCACGTGCAACAACCCAAATTAGCAAAAACGACAAGAGAAGACTTACAACCAATGCCCCTATTTCTGCCGGTCCTGGTCGGAAACGAAGAGTGGCCGCGGAGGAAGAGTTGGTTTTTACGTCACCTACTACGACTAACAGAAAGCCGAAAGGTCCTTCACTATCTACACCTGCTAAGAACATCAGTTTAATAACTGAAGACGAGGATGAGGACGAGGACACTGATGCTGTTCTCATTGCGGAACAGTTGCATGGGGCTGTTGGTCGTACATTTGGCCCCTTCAAGAGCGCTCAACCTACTGCAGCCTCTACTCCCCTTCGAGCTCCTTCTACACCAACCTCTGTAGGTAGGCAGGCAAGCAGACAGCCACCCGCCAAAAGTCCGCTTTTCTCTTCTAGGTATGCCGAAGCTAGCGCCTCTAGTATACAATTTAGAAAAGACTTGGAAGAGTTGGAACAGGAAACACCTCGTCGTAACGGAGAGCGCTCTATTAGGGACAAATACCCTAACTGGGCAAGGTCTCCAACAATGTTCAAGAAGTCCCCAGAAAGAAAGGCCGCCCTCACACATATTAAGAATCCCTTCCTGAAGAAGCAAGAAGACGAGGAAGACATGGGTGAGGATTTGGAGTCCGTTTCTGACGTTGTTATGGAAGAAATCGAGGAAGAAGTCGAGCAAGATGAGGCTGAGGAAGAAGCTTCTCAAAGCGAGTATGGTGAGGTAGAGGAGATTTTGAATGAAAGGGAGTGGACTTACGATGACGGTACGTGGGGGGATCAGTTTTGGATCAAATGGGTGGGTTGGGGACACGAATCGAATACTTGGGAGCCGGAGGGCAATCTGAATTCTTCACTTGTCGCGGAATATCGAAAAAAAAGACGGGAGAGAAGATCCAGGTCAAGCACAGCACACCCTTCATCGCACAAGAATCGTACAATCAAATCAGAATCGGCCACACCAAGTTTGAGCGGCCTTCAATTAAGAATTCAAGTGAATGCCCGTTCTCACAACAGCCTCTTCGTGAGTGACGATGACGACGACGACAGTGATAAAGATAAGGGTAATAAGGATGGCGACGATGAGCTAGACAGTCAACCTGTTGTTACAGGAAAGGATATCAGAAAGTCTAAGGTGCCTATTGTGATCGACAGCGATAGCGACGAATTTTAATAATGAGCATACGAACGGAAGAAGGATATCAAAGGGTGCACAGAAAAAGGTGGTTTACAGCCATCCAATTGGGCTTACTAGAAGAGGCTGGTCATTGCAAATCTCGCATACAATACGGATACTCAAGGTCTGTCACACACACACACATATGGGGAATGGAGTTGTTTTTTGTTTTTTGCTAGAGAGTCTTTTGAGGTTTACTTGGTAGGCTCTCTAAAGTTTCTATGTAAATATGTAGGAGTACCGTCACGATCATGAACGAGCGGGCGTTGGGAGGGGCATACTGGGCATTGCAGCATGAAGATACCCCTTGACGAACAATAAATACCCCTGAATATGGAAGGAAGGAAGGAACGTGGTCATGGAAGTCAGATTGTAAATGGCATTGAGTTCATTACATGGCGCACAAAATCCACAAACCCCATTTCTCAAAAAAAGGTAACTCCTCTTTCTTTCTTTCTTCTTGAAGTCTTACAGTACGAGATGAGCATCCGCAGCATCAAAATCAAAATCAAGCGCCATTAACATAGGTTCTTACCCCCTCCTGCCCCTATTTTATAAAAACCGCGTAGCTATTCTCCCCGTCCCACACTATAGATAACCTACAATTAATCCGAATTGAATCGAATCGATGAAATCCAGAGTCAATCTTACTCGTAGAGCCCCGAGAATCCCTCCAATTTGCAAACACAGATGTTCAAACAAGCTGTGGGTCTTGGGAAGATTACACATTCCACCAATGGCAAGTTGGTAAGGAACACCATTGATATTGATATTGATATAGCCACTGCGATGCCGCGATGCCGCGATGCGTGCGAAAAGGCTAAGCTTGAAAATTTGGAAGAGCGATTTGTTTGTTGTTGGAGTGGGATCTTGAGGTGAAGGGTTTGAGGGGTTTGAGGGGGTCTGATGAGAAAGCAAGGAAGGAAGTAATGGAGGAGGAATGAAGGAGCCAGTTTCTAGCGTCTTACAGTTTTATAGAGAGGAGAGGAGAGGAGAGGAGAGGAGAGGAGAATAGACTAGATCAAGTAAAGTGTTTGTTTACATTTACCCTTCCACTGTGACACTGTCTCTGATAGAACTTCCAAACTTCCAAACTTCGAAAGACTTCCACTATACCCTAAGACCTTTACAGATACAGCTACCTAGCTAATCATCCTACCAAGTTTATACAAGAAGAGCATATTACACAGCAATTACTAGTATCAGTTCAGTTCAGTTCAGTTCCATCTCCCCAGTCTCCCCGGTCCCCCTCCTCCCCCATGCCAGTCCAGTCCAGTCCAGTCCAGTGCCAGCCATTTGCAAGAACCGCGTCCCATGTTGTGAAGACTATAATCTAGTAACAGGCAGAGTACCCAGATAAGCATACAATACAGTAACAGTACAGTCCAACTCTTCCCAGTACGATTCTCTAGTTAGTTCCCTAGTACCCATCCGCCCACCCAACCACCTCATCTATCACTCACTCCACCATTCAGCCCATTCACCTCTCAAACCCCAAAACAAGATCCACGAAAGCAGTCCTCACATCAGAGAGAAAACAAGAAAAGGGAAATCTCACAGATCCACAGGATCTTCTCAAAACCCCCTTCCCCCCCTTTCACTTTAAAAGAGTGTTCCAAACAGAGATAAGACGACCATACCATTGCACTCGCTTATCTCATATCATTCATTATCTTTACTTCATCATAATACAACCTATTCCATCCCACCTGCCTGCCTAACCTGCCCTTTCTGTCCCCTTCAACCAACCAACCATCTATCAAACCATGCGTAAAACCCTAACAACCCCTTGACCAGTCATCTCATCCACTAAGAATACCAACGTCCTAAGCTGCACAAAGATACAAAGCCAAGCCAAGCCCATGCACACCACAAGAATATTTGTTTCTCCTTTGACCCCTGATTATCTGTATCGTATCTCGCCCAAACGTTCAAGCACAGGTTTGTCCTGTGAACTTCACCTCCAGCAATGCAAGCACAACGATCATCATCTTCATATCTCACAAGGCCGTTTTCAGCATTCCAATGCCATTTCGTCTTCGCTTTTCGAAACCGCTAAGTGAATCCACGTTAAGAATCGATTCTTGGTGGACTCTTCGAGTCATGCGATTTGCTTTTACCGAATGGGCTCGAACTCCGTGATTCATCATGTCTATAATTTCGCAAAAAACGAACAAAATATTAGAATTACTGGTTTGCATGTCTTTACCCCTAAACGCCGAAGAGAAAATGAAAGGGAGGGGGAGCTAGTATTCTATCCTAGGTGGATAGGGGATGTGGTGTACATACGATCTCCGCCGCTCGCCTTCCTTTCTGAACCCTTCAATCGTTCGAAAGATCTCCTTTCGTCCACCCGCAGCATCTACTAATTTCCCCCCCATAGACATGCTAACCTTCTCCCTCGCATTCGCGCTAAGAAGCTTCTTTAGAAGAAGGTGACGCATAAGAATGCACACATACACCCCGCAATCGCTGCTATTTGTCTGCTTAGGACTATCCTCTAGATCCATGAACCGTAAAGGTTTGCCAAGCAGAACCGACAATTGATTAGTAGCATGATACGCATCTCGGTAGTTGTGTTGAGTCAAAGAATCGTAGTGAAAAGCGACGCCGTCGAGGATTGAGACAAGTAACAGGGACCAATGCGTTCCTTCTTCGGGTCGAGTAACGTTCTGTGCATTATTGATTGGAAGAAATATATGTGTTGTTCTACTAAAGTTTGGGAGGGCTTCTCGAAGGGTCAGAGCATCGGGCGTCTTCATTAACATGAATGCCATTGTGGGCCGCAGTAGTACGATGTGGGAGGAGGGGTAGAGCTTGAGCTCTTCCCGTTCGAGGTATCTATTGGCGTCTTAGCTTAGTGACGAGCTCGAAGACGGAGAAGTGGAGGGATATACTCTTCCCAGAACGCTATGCACTGTGCTCAATTAGCATATATAACTCGAGTCAAAGGTGAAGAAGGTGAAGACGTTACATTATCCGTGAGCCAGTCATTATTCTTGAGGGTATCAATATCTTCCTTCATCACTGTAACTTTATCAATACAGTCGAAGTTAAATTTCCAGACCTCACTTACACCGAACATCGTAGTCTTTCTCAGTTAGCAATCATATTCCTGGCTTCGCAGATCGAGGGAGCTACTAGGGGTGTACTTACAGCTTAAATATGCATCGTCAGGCTGCAGCTGTGATATCCCAAGGCGCCAGGTCAGCCAGCGCTTTCCTAACAGGATCCTCATATTCCGGAAAATCGGAGAGAGCAAAGCACGGTGAAGGAAGACATACCGTGTCACCAAAATGTTTGCTAACTCTGCCCTTGAAGGGGTGGAAGCCTTTGCCTGACATTTTCGGTCTTTTCTCTCTTCGCAGAGGCAGGGCTGAGAGAGGAACGCGGGGTTGGGTCGAGGCTGCGGGTTGTCGCAGATGGGAATGGATCGTCCAGAGGTCGTCGGTTTGGGGATGGTACTCCGTATAGGAGATCACGGCGATGCGGTCGTGGGATACGATTTTGCACCGAGGGAAGACGAAGGACGCTGAGAGGGGAATTGTCTGTAATGTTGATTGTTATCTGCTGTTGACTTGACTTGACGTTCGTCGTCACTGTCTGGAGAACCTTGCGGAGTAACCGCGCTCCCACGCCGCCATTACCCCAGCACCAACCCCGGTCCGATCCCAGTACTGAGTACTGTATGTCAAGGCCCGACATTCAAGGTGAATGTACGGTACGAGGTAGGTAATCACAGCCAATTTATCATGTGAATCTATTTCATTATGTCAACTGTTTGACTCTAAATAAGCTAGTGTAAGCTCTGCCCCTTCTCCTTGTTGATCCCATCGCCTGAATGCCAATTGCAAAGCCAATCCGCCATATCCGCCAAATCCAGCACTGCCACTCTGCCACATCTCATGTTCTAATCAAACGTAGCCTTTATCCCCTTTGCCCAAGGCCCAGCTACATAATCCGACAATATCACAAGCAAATTTATACCATCATCCATCAGCTAAAGCCAGCAAAGAAAAGCGACTCTCAAACAATGATGCACCTCTTCTAAACACCCTCTCTTCCTTTCCTAATCTTCTCCCGGATCGCTGCCTGCTTTGCTTTCCAGCCTTCGGTAAATTGAGCAACCGAATTCTTCTTCGTTGAGGCAACGACCTTTGCAATTGCTCTGCCCGAAGCTTTATATGCTTTCGCCATGGCACTCTTCTTCACCGACAGGCCTTCTGCAATCTTCTTCTTTTCTTGTGTTCGCTGCTCGACCAGATTGTCAACAATTTTCGCTCCGCCGTCCTGGTATTGTTGAACGAGAAGGTCCATTCGATCTTCTTCGCTTGCTAGTCTAATGATCATTTCCTGTTTCATCATTAGCAAGGGAGAATCTAGACTCGAGCCATGAGCTTACATCTGCAACCCGGTGAACCGCATCTTTTAAATTGGTATAGTGTGGCCTCAACGCAACATTCCATGTTTCGTTACCAGAGACGTCTTGTAAAGGACTTCTTACTAGGTCACTACTCAGGCGGCTGTTTGAGTTATCACTACACATACTGGGAACCGAAATCTCCAATGTAGGGTGAACTGCGCCTTCCACGAGCGTCTTTTCCGGATCGTCAACATACACCTGCGTTCTTTTGCTCCCAAGTTTTGTCTTACTGATTCGAGCTCCTCGTGGTCTGGGGATACTCTGGATCTTCTCAGCTACCGGTAACGCACCTGTCTTTCCTGCCTTCGTACTAGACTCAGTGCGTAAGCGTTCAGTAAAACCACTGGACTTGTGTGCAGGCGGCTGCTCAACAAAAGGATCTGCAAGTATCTGTGGCTCAACAACCTCTCTGCCAACAATGCCTTGGTAATTGCCGTTCTTCGTCTTTTGATGAGGAATGTAGCGTAATTCAACCTTTTCAGGCGATGATGGCCGAGCCTTGTTCTGACTTCCGATTCTTGCTTTGGGTCCAAAGATTCCCTCCGGCTTGAATGATTGTGGTGAGATTGACATGTCTTGGTGTTTTGGCTGACTCAACTTCCGGATCTTTTCATCGATTCCGATATTATCATTAAAGACGGATAAGTTCAAAGGCATAGGACTTCCATTTAAGTCTACTCGTGATGCCTGTGATGATGGCTTTGTGATTGGCCTCTTTCGAGTAACCTTTGTAGCAACGACAAGAGAAGTGGGAGCAGGCGAGGAACTCCTGGCCGAGGCATCGTCAAAATTGACATCTGCCATTCCATCGTCATCTCGTTGTGCAAGGCTGCTTTGTCGTTTCTTGCTTGGCGGGCTCTCCACGCCTGAAATCTCAACGATGTCAAGTTTTCTCTTCGTTGATGGGTTTTCCCTTTGAAGGCTTGCTTGTGGAACAGATCCGGCTTGCGGCTTAGGTGTAGCTGATGCACGCCCTTGGTTGATTGGACCATTTTTGTCGAACGCGATTATCTGCGCCTTTCGATGTGCACTGTCATCAACCAGAGCACTAGCATTATCTTCACCAGTAGCTGCCACAGGAAGTCTTCGTTCATTAGCTGCAGGTGTATTCGCGCTCTCGTTAAACGGAGATGCTTTACGAAAAGCTGCCGGTTTAGCTTGACTTTCTGGGTGGAGCTTAGCCTGCATATCTGCCTCCAATCTCCCTGGCACCGCGGGCTTTTTGAATTGATGTTCTGGAGCTGAGTTGTTCGACTTTTTGTTCTGTGCTTGAGAGTCGAGATTCTGCAAAGGTGACACATTGCGGACCTTCTCTTGAGTCAAACTTCGTCTCTTTTTAGAAGGCGTAGTCTCTTCAACCTCTGCTTTTCTCTTTCGAGATTCTTGTGAGTCGAATGTCCCATCACCCATGTTCGATTTCATGGGCGAGATAATGTCATCGTTCATTGGAGCCTCGGGAGTTTCTCCTACAGCACCCTGATCTTCAAATCCATTCATTGGATCACCAAATGGTTCCTCGCTATCTTCATCAACAACCTTTTCCGCTTGTGATCCACCTTTAGCCTCTGGGGAATCCTCAGAATGAGCATTATCGTCAAGAGGAGGAATTGGTAGGCTCAAGTTGCCCGCGGCCGCCTTCTTTGCGTGTCCCTTGTTGGTTGGTTTAGAATTCTTCTCTGTTATTTCTCTCTCTACTTGTTCAAATGAGACCAGCTCTCTTGGCACCCCTGGTTTTCCAGCTTCCTGCAAAGGCGGCGCAGGTGAAACTTGGGTAGCGTAATCGCCACCTTCAACTTCCGCCAGTGGTAATTCGTGGTCATCTTCAGCCCATTTAGCAATCACTCCCCGAGTTTTCCGCTTCGCACGAGCAGATTTCTTGCCTTGGTGTTCATTTTCGACATTGTCGGGAGCTTCGGATTGTGGAACCGGGGATTTTTCATGTTTACTGCTGGGAACTGGGATCTTGGAGGCTCTCGGAATCTTGGGTAGATTACTTGATTCCTTCGCTACCTGGGAACTTCTGGGGGGGTTCTTCCGGGGAGGTGGGGCTTGAAGTTCTTTCTCCCCATCTAAATTTCTAAGCTGGGATGATTTGGTCGTTGAAGCTTTCTCTCGCATTCCTCCAGTGGCCGATTTTGATTTGGAGGACAGCTTGCCTTGGGGCGAGACCTTCTTTTGAGAAAGCGCCTTCTTTGCCTTTGTCTTTTCAGCACCTTGGTACTTGACAACCCCTCTTTTGCTTTTGGGATTCTTCGGTCTGTTCCGAATCGATGAAATGACAGAATCTTCGTCATCAGAAGCCGTCGGCAAATCATATTCGTCTTGTTGAGCGTTGTCTTTTGAGCCAATGAGTACTTTCGAATTCATCTTTTGCATTTGGCCCTGACTTCGTTCCGCGTGGGCATGAGACGATCCATTCTTTTGGTGGGGTAATTTGACCTGCTGGAAGGTTTTTGGGGTTGAGAAGTTGTGCTCGTCAGAAATATCAAAATCCACCGAATCAATGGCTGGAGAAGGCACGCCACCCAACTTTGCTGCTTCATTCTCCACTTGAGGTTGTGATTGTCTTGTTTTAGATACCGGTTGTGTGATCGGCGCCTTCGCTTTCGACTTTGTCTTTGTCACGGACTTTCTCCTAATTGGAGCGGGCTGCGATTTGGTGTTGGGAAACTTGTTGTCAACATCTGCCTTTAATTGCGCGCGTTTGCTCAACTTCAAGTTTACCACTGACTTCGCTCCTGGCTTTGCGTTTGATGCCACTGCTCGGTCTTCAATCACATCATGACCTGGGTATTTGGCTGGGGGCTTTCCCTTCCCGACCGCGTCCGAATTCTTAGCCCGTGAAGCTACTTTTCCCTGCATATCTGTCTTTGGCTTTGACTTGGCTGCCAGCATGGTGTTAGAAACTGCAGCTGGCTCTTCAGCTCGGTCTTGTGGTTTTGATGGAAATAACCCTCGCTTGCTGAATTTCGTAGGACCTTGTGATTGGGATGGGACAGCGACTTCTTGTCTATCAAGTCTGGCACCGTCATTATTTTTGGCAACAGGAACTCCCCTCCTCTCTTTCGGCTCCTTGGGACTTCGTGTAATTTGGGTATTTTGTGGTGGCGCGTGATACAAGTCCTCTTCGATAGAATCTCCATCAACATTGGTCATTTGTTCGTGGCTGTTGATGTTAACACTTTCAATGTCACTTCCAATCATCGGCTCCTCTTGTGTAGATGTCCTCATCGGAGGTATGTGGCTGTTGATATCAACACTGTCAATGTCACTTCCAATCATCAACCCTTCTTGTGTAGATCTCCCCATCGGTGGTATGTGGCTGTTGATATCAACACTGTCAATTTCACTTCCAATCATCAGCTCCTCTTGTGTAGATCTCCCCATCGGAGGTATGTGGCTGTTCGTATCGTCTGTGTCAAATTCAGTGCAATCCATGGTATCGTTCACCTTTCCATTGAACGTGGTTACTCCCGCGACATCTGCCATCAATGTCTCTGCGAAGTCTGGGGGGCCACGAAGTCTGACACTAGACACATCTGTCTTCTTTCCGTTCAATGTACATAGAAGGCCCACTCCTATTAGAATATATATTGCCGAAAACCCATTCTGTGTTTCTGCTTCATCACGAATGGCTATGTCGGAGATAGAGGGTATTGGGATCTGCAAAATCCGATCATGCAATTGATCTGAGCTTGACACATGGACAGTCAGAAAATCAAAATCCACGGTGACAATCAACGAATGGCCTGAGCACCCAAGTTCGAAATCCGGCTTCAAATAGCAGTCAGTTGCAAAATACAACATTCTAATCTCACGTCAGTATTTTGACTTCATTGGCATGTTGCTAAACCTACTGCGTAGGTGTTCGTTTCTCGTTCGCCGTCTCGTCAATGTAGTCTTGGAATTTCTGACTCCATCCATCTTGTGATGATCGTGGAAACTTTTGGATTGACTCTGATGACGTGCCTTTAGGCCACAAAGTCTGAAGTGCGACAGTACCACTTGATCGTATAATATCAATGACTTTGCCGGCGAGGCACCTAACGATTTCATTTTCCTCTGTCTTCAACATCTGACCAAGACCTTCCCTGAATATGGTATCAGTAGCTAACACAGAGATCCAGACTCAACAGACTCTTACCGCGTTCTGTCTGGTCCCACTCCTAGTAAATCAAGATTGCTCTCACACCCCTTCAGGAGCTGAATACCAAGAATTCCAATCTTCACGTCACGTTAGCACAGGTACAAAAGGCAACCAAGCGACGGGACTCACCCATTTCCGAAGTTCGGGGGGACCATCGGTATCTACGAAGTTTCCAAAAAGCAGATTGAGACACTGTGAACCGATTGCCTCTTTTCTCTTCTTCACACGCTCTCGCTCATCGGAAAGATTATCTTTGTGTAAGGAGGTCTGCAGATGTCAGCAACTGATAAGTATACTTGCCTCTTACTGCCAGATACTTGCCGCAAGTAAAAACAAGCCACGCTCGCATTGCATGCAGTAGTCTGTTTGTAATATTGCCTCTACCAGCACAACAAAAACTGTGGCATCTAGATGGCTGCATACATCCTCGTGCCCATCATCAAGAGCAGACACCAAGTCGTCAACGTATTCCCCCTCAATGCTCGTATTCTTTCTTCGATGGGCTGCTAGTAGTTTCCGCACACCAACCGCAGCATTGGGCAAGCTAAAGAGATTAGTACGCAATCAGGAAACTGGATCACGAACACCTTACCTGATCACCTTATTATGCTCGTCCTCCTCTCCAGAATCTCTCAGGTGTTGAGAAAGAGTGTTGAATGCTTTCTGGATAGTGACTACAGGCTCTTTGGCGAATATCGGCACCTTGTTGGTTCTCTTGGGCGGCATTGTGTTTGCGTTCTGCAACAGAGTAAGTCAAGATTGTGGTAATAGGGAGCGAGGAGACGGTACTCGTGCTATGAGAACTCGCCGCAAGTCATGTAGCTACGAAGGCCGCTTAGGAGATATGGTTCCGCCAACTTGCAATGCCTGCCCAACGCGGCATCGGTGGTGGATCGCGACGATGAGAACACTTCAACCGTGACTCTCAACAAAGAAAAGCACGAGTACAATACCTGAAGGAGAAGAGAGAACGCGTAGAAGATTGAAAATCGCGTTCAGTGAATTTCTGTTGCTCCGGTGATGAGTTGTGGAATCTTGAAGTCGTGGTTGCGAGAGTATAGGAAACCCGCGCGATGAGACGAAGTTACAAAAGTGAACTCATCCGCGTGGGTGGTAGGGGAAACTCAGATGGGAGTGTTCAGAAGGGCGAGGTATGCATCCAGATTGAGTTTGCACGCAAGGAAGAAGGGTAGGTAGGTGTTGAGGTTGAAAGAGGAGGAAGTGACAGGTGACCGGTGTTGATGAGGAAGGAGGGGGTAGAGGGCAAGAACAATGAAGTGGGAAGGCGCGACCCGAAGCGAGCAGCAGCACTCCCCAGAGGAACAACAACATCTCCGTTTCCAGAAAACCTCGAACTCTCGGAAATATTCAGCTTGATACAAGATTGAAGCTTGATCATATCCAAAAGAAAAAAGAAAAAGAAAAAGAAATGTGTTGCATCCCATGAATCCTGTCTGTATACTCATCACAGCACATCCAAACCTCAACGTACCAACACCTCCATCTCCCGATAAACATCCCAATTCCCCTTCACCCAGGTAACATCACACTTCAACCTCGAGACTCTCCACGGATTCCCCTTTTCCCCGTCCGTACAAGGTCCAATTCATATCGTCCCTAAAAACATGCACATCAACACCACCTTCTCCCTCCTCTCAATCAAAACCCCACAAGCGAAAAAAAAACATAGGTAAAAACAAACAAGACATACCCCACTCCCAAACAGCCCCCCCCTCGCATCCCTCCTATTCAACTTCACCACACAATTCGCCAACACCCCCGCCGTCCCCGGGATCCCTACACCATCCCCCGGTTGTGGGAGGTCAATAAGTAGACTCCTGCACCNGCAGCCTCCTATTCAACTTCACCACACAATTCGCCAACACCCCCGCCGTCCCCGGGATCCCTACACCATCCCCCGGTTGTGGGAGGTCAATAAGTAGACTCCTGCACCCATCATCAACAACCCCCCTTCTTTCCTCTCTCTCTACCCATACTCCAAATTTCAGGGTTATATTATACATACATACAAACAAGCACCACCCATCCAAACCCCCTACCATCCCCTCCCACGCCCCCGCCTGTTACCCCCCAGAGATGGTATACAGCTCCCCACCAAGTAAGCTCGTATAATCCACCCGCACCTGCTCGTCANCTACCATCCCCTCCCACGCCCCCGCCTGTTACCCCCCAGAGATGGTATACAGCTCCCCACCAAGTAAGCTCGTATAATCCACCCGCACCTGCTCGTCAAAGACGTCCGTTGCCAGCTCGCTGAATTTCTTCAGGTCGAGGAGGAGGCACATCTTGGTTACGGTGTAGTGGATGTTGGCGCGGTCTAGGAGGTAGGTGGAGATATTGTAGGTTGCGGTTGCCATTTTGGTGTTTAAGCAAGTATGTAGATTGAATGAGGAGCTTGGTTTGGTAAGATCTTACAGTGTGTAACTTGGATGGGAGATGGGAGATGGGATTTAGATGAGAGAGGTTTGAATAATTGTACGTTTTACTTTACCCCTCTTCAACTCAGGTGTGTGTGTCCATCGTACAAGTTGCTTTCTTAAATCCAATATATCCGATGTGGTTAGTATAATGTTGGCCAAGTCACCCAACTCCCCCAACTTCCTAGTGCTCCCTCCCTCTTATATCCTTATGTCCGAATATAAACCCCGAGCGAAGCGCACGACCAAGAAAAAAAAGGGGTGGAAAACGATCCAATAGCAGGGCAACACAAGCGAGTGAGTATGTAAAACTCTTCCACCCTACGGTGCTATATAAAGTATCCTTCTTTCAAAAAATCCAAGCTCAAAGCATTAGTGTGTCCATTCAAGACCTAAAATACATTTCAATCCCACCTAACATTACGATCACATCAAACTCGTTCGTCCCCCTACATCCCTAGCCCCCTCCCCATTCTTCATATCACCACTTCTCCCAACCACAAACTCCCTATAAATCGCCTGTAACCGAACACGATCCTGAGCACTAATACTAGCTCTCGTACTACCTAAACTCTTCTCGACATGTCGCCACGCAATGATAACCTCTTCTTGTTCCTTCTCCACCTTTGGAGCCTTCTCAATACTAACGATCCCTCGTTGGGCAGCTTTGGCTCGCTTCTTAGCCGCCTTGATTTCTGCCAATTTCGAGGATATGGCTGCTCTTTCGGCAAGGAGTTCACTTTTGTTGTGACCACCCCTGGAGCGCGCTTCAGACTCGGCTAGGTCTTCAGATTGACCATACCGGAATTGGATGAAATTTCTAGCCGCTGATGTCGTCCCATTTGTCCCGTTTGTTTTCTTGGTGCCAACCTCTGTGTGGTCTTGGTCACCAAGAACATCGTGAATTGCTTCTAGATGAGCATTGTATATCAAGGCTTGCAAATCAGCTCCACTGTAGCCTTCGCATCGGTTTGCAATATCAGGTAGAGCTTCGATGACCTCCTCGCTAAGTTTCAGCTTTTTGCCGAGTGCTTTTAGAATATCAATTCGATCATCGAGGTCTGGAAGATCACATATAAGACTTTTATCGAGTCGCCCAGGACGTAGCAATGCTGGATCAATCAAGTCAGGTCTTGATGTTGCAGCGAGGACGTACACGCCAGACAGTCCTTCAGCACCGTCCATCTGGGTTAGCAACTGATTGACAACGCGGTCGGTGACACCTGTGGAATCGTGACCTCTCTTTGGCGCAATAGAGTCGAACTCATCGAAAAAAAGCACACAAGGCCTTGCAGCTTCTGCTCTCTCGAAAAGATCGCGAACTGACTTTTCTGAAGCTCCAATGTATTTGTTCAAGATCTCGGGCCCTTTCACAGAGATGAAATTTAATCCGCATTCTCCGGCTACTGCAGAAGCCAACATTGTTTTCCCACATCCAGGGTACCCATAGAGAAGCAAACCAGACCGTAAACGCAACGGGCATTGCGCAAATATTGGAGCGTATGTCGTTGGGTATTGAAGCGTTTCGAGAAGGACTTTACGAGTCTCGTGTAATCCTCCAATTGATGCAAAAGTGGTTGTGCTCGTCTGTAAAGTTACATTTCGAAGAGACGCAGGAGTAAACCCTTTCAGAGCACTGTCGAAATCGGCCCGGGTAAGATAGATGGTGGCCGATTCAATATTGTTTGGTGAGTCAGACACAGAGCGTATTAAGGCTTCGCTTCGAGCGCGAGAAACAAGTAGAACCAAATCGCCAGGCATATAGCCATCTGTCTCCCCAGATAGGTCAAGGAAATCGAGGTCAGGAGATATCATAAGTCCGTCTGGCTTCTCATTCGAAGTAGCCCGACCTGCAACACTTCCTCCATCCATCCATGTATCTTCTCCTTCAGCAACACTACCATCGGCTGTTGTTGGCCGGCTATCAGTATTTGCTCTACTATCGGTATTAGATCTGCTATCGGTATTTGCTCTCTCTTCGTGTGGATTTGGATCAGAAGCATTTTGCCTAACAACTAATTCCACGACCCTCCTTCGTGCCTCTTTGTTTGGGGCTTTGAGTCCGATAATCTCACGGACAACATGACCCCCAACAATGACATTATGCAAAGACTCTTTAGCCTGTGCGGTCGCCAGCAGAACAATATTGCTGTCTCTTCCGCAGAATTGTTTGACAACACTGCATATGCCCTCACTGATTTGTCGACTGCGGCCATTGTCATTGCCCACTTCAAGCTCAGTCTCAGCAGGACACAGCTTATCAAGGTCATCTAGAACCACGATGGATTTTCCACCCAGTCTAGCACCCCAGCATGCATCCATAAACAATCTTGTGAATGTTTCCTTGATGGCTGATACCTGGGTTTCGTGGTTGACTAACTTCCGGCACGAAAAATAGGTAGTGTGGAACAGCGATTCAGAGCGAAGCTTGTGGGCAAGAAGGTGTGCTACAGAGCTTTTCCCAGACCCAAGAGCACCAGTAAGCAAGACTGATGACATATGTGAAAGGTGTGATTGCAGCTTTTCAATGAGATTATCGATACCCACAAGAATAGGTGCAATTGGTGCAAGAGGATCTCCGATTGCACTGCTGGAGACAGATAATGGTTTTGGTATTGGAGGTTGAACCTCAATACTGATTTTTCGCTCAGAGCCCAAGAACCAGTGACAAGTCTTACTGGAAGATTCGGGGGTCCGGTGATCAAATCGAAGGATGCCGCCTTCCCACCCAGCTGTGGGCATATTTGGCGTTCCAAGAACAACGCCATTTGTTAACGGCCCATCAAAAATACCATCGCAGTCATCTTGCCCTCCGTACATCTTAAATAGACGCTTTGAGGACTCTTCTCGCTCCGCATTAGTCTCGCCGCCAAATTTCAATCCCTCGGAAACTTTTCCCTTGCCCGTTGCGAAGGGATATATCTTAATAACCTGAGAACCATTCCTTTCTATCCTCTCGATCTGGGTGGGTGCAGCCTCAAGCTTCACAACTCCGCCAACGAAGCCCTCACGAGACATGGCTGCGGATAGCGAAGAAGACAACGCAGCATGCTGGCTGTCCGGTGGGTCATCCCATGGCAATAAGCGGGCAACTACTTTGGAGGCTAGCTTGCCGACATCTCGCATAGTCTCCAGCTCTTGCTGTAATTTTTGAGGGTCAACAGGATTCTGTAAGCTGGGGGGCTTGACCAAAGTGACACATGCCCAAGTGATTCCCTTCAGTGCTTTTGAGAATAGCACATCTCGATCCACCCAGACCTTAAGACCATCATCCTGTGAGTCACTGCCTTCGTCAAATAAATCCTCACACGCACTTCGGCCGAGACCTCTGAAGAACATAGCAGGCCTTTTTTCTTCTTGCCCACTTCGTCTTCGAACCGTGCTAGTACCACTCCTTCCTCCCGTACTTCTTCCGCCAGCACTTTTCCTAGAGGTAACACTACGGTTCTCTCCATAGGAAGCCGTTGGCCGTGATCTTGTTTTTGGTGCAACAATTACTTCAGCATCGGGAGAGAGCTTCGCAAATGGCGAGTTTGGAGAGAGCACGGGTATCAAGGAAGTGACGATTATATTGGCAGTCGAAGTCGGGGAGAGATGCAGGGTAAGTGGGTGAGGTGCTGATGTCGACCCAGAAGATGCATAGCTTGGGTTAGGTAGAGCCCGCACTTGGTGGATAAAATTGAACTCCAAAAAATTGGCATGTAATTCTATAATCTCCCAATCATCTGCGGTCAAAGGTTCAATGTTGACAGTATGGGCAACTAGCGGATCCATGTGTAAGGTTGCCGTTATTTTCTGCCCATCCGCCAAACCCAAAGTACGCGCAAAGGTCGCATCGATTTCTACCAGAGATACATCTTGCTCCCGATTTGTATTGCCTCTTGTCCCGGATATTCCGTCTCTGTTTACGATTGGCGCGAGTTTACGCTTGCTTTGCATGCCCGTCCATCCCACGAATATGGATCGATTGTTCGGGGCCCCATTTGTTTGGCTGGTCCCCGGAGGAAGCGGTATACGGTAATTGAGCTCTACAACTACATTTTGAATTGGCTACATAGTACAGAGTTAGTATTGTTTTTGGCAGGTTCGAGGAAGAGGCAGACTCACAATGTTCACGCTGACAAGCAGTGGGACCAAGGAAGCTGGCAAGTTGACCAGGCAGGTTTTGAGGTGGGTTAGTGAGATCTCCGCCGATGTAGCCTGACTATTGCGTTTGGGGGCCATAGCTAACAATCTTTGGGAGGTTTCTCTTCTCTCTCTGCTTTGTGGTGTTTCTTGCGACTTGTGTCTGTATTCCTGAATACTCTGTAGTCTTGTCTCTGCCCACGCGCAAGCTGGGAGTGCCTCGGCAAGGAGCTCTACGCCACAGAACCCCAAATTGTGGCTGGTACGAGTACTATTTTCTCAGGGACCAGGGCAGGGGTGCGGTGCTATGGACAACCGTAAAAGTGATAATTGGTGAATGGCTGAGTTAACTCTTTCTATTCTGGATGTCTAGTTCAATTTAGTTAATTGATCTAGTTGTCTAAAATGAAATTAAAATGATTTACTTGTCTTGAGACTTCCGTATCAATTGTTATATCTGTTCTACTCCACCTTGAGAGAAACTACACGTACCTCAAGTACCAGTCCAGTACGGACCTCCCACGCTTCCAACGCGACAGGGGCACGCGAAAACACGAAAACTGCCCTACGGAGTGGAAATGCAAGTGGTTGTGGACATTTCAAGCGCCCTTCAAGGAATCCAGCCCAGCCCCTCCAAGTGACATTTGCCAAAGTCTCTAAACGCAACGCGCATCTCAATCGCCTACCCAAAACAACTTTTAAACCACGACGATAACATACGGGAACGAATCGTCGTATTGAAACCCTCTGCTCTGGAAACTCTCGTCCCCGTCGAAACTCCCATCGCAGAAGTTCGAGGAGACTCAGGGGCTTTGCGCAAAATGGCTCTTCTACAGTTCAGAGCACCGGTCGACTATGAACAGCACCAAAGTGGGTTTCCAAGTCAAAAATCCGGTGCGGAAAATACTGACAACTGTCATAGCTGCCTTTGAGGACTTTCTCCAAAACTTCAAGACCTCCCCAGCCGCTAATATTACCCATGCGCTTGGGGGCATGAATATTGACGAGGACGATTTGAGTGATGATTACGACTTTATGGACGAGGATGACGAGGGACAGGATGAGCGTCGCAGAACACGATCTCATGCAAAGGCGCCCAAGTTGAAATACATGGACCTTCTTCGTAAGATCGCAGATCGCCAAGAGGAGGAAATTACGATCGATTTGGATGATGTCGAACAGGTAGGTAATTCTTTGCTGAAAAGATTGGCCTGGCTGATGATTTGGGTAGTTCGATAAATTACTGGACGACAACGGAACTCCTATGAAGCTGGTCGAGTCAATTGAGACTAATGCCAAACACTATCTTGATATTGTGTCAAAAGCAGTTGATAAGATCATGCCACTACCCACAAGAGAACTCAAGTAAGCTTCTGGTCATCATGGCGGTATCCGATTCCGTATGGACTGATTTCGTTCTAGCTACAAAGACGATGTTCTTGATGTATTAATGTCGCAACGAACAGCCCGTAACAACGCTCTAGAAAGAGCTGCGGCCGAAAACCCAGATCCTACTGATGAGCCTGAGCTATTCCCTGCCGAGTTGACCAGACGATACACCCTCAATTTTAAACCCCGTACACGTAGTGAGCAACCTCTCAAAGCTTTAGCGGTCCGACAGGTTCGAGGAGAGCACTTGGGACATCTAATCACTGTCCGAGGAATTACGACTCGTGTCTCGGACGTTAAGCCAACTGTTGAAGTGAATGCATATACTTGCGATCGTTGTGGTTGTGAGATTTTCCAGCCTGTTGGATCTAAAACTTTTGGACCTTTGGTAGAGTGTCCTTCGAAAGATTGTGAAGTCAACCAGACTAAAGGCCAATTACACCACTCCACTCGAGCCTCTAAATTCCAACCATTCCAGGAAGTCAAGATTCAGGAAATGGCAGAGCAAGTTCCAGTTGGCCATATTCCACGAATGCTGACAATTTTATGTCATGGTGCCCTTGTCCGACGTATCAACCCTGGAGATGTAGTGGATGTGGCCGGTATCTTTTTGCCCACCCCTTATACTGGTTTCAAGGCTATTCGCGCTGGTCTTTTGACGGATACATATCTGGAGGCACAGCATGTCATTCAACATAAAAAAGCATACGAGGATATGAAGGCAGACAGCAAAGTTTCCAGACGCATTGAGCAATACCAATCGTCAGGGCATTTATACGAGTACCTTGCAAAGTCGATTGCGCCCGAGATTTACGGACATTTGGACGTTAAGAAAGCACTCTTGTTGCTACTAGTTGGTGGTGTAACCAAAGTTATGGGAGATGGTATGCGAATCAGAGGTGACATCAACATCTGCTTGATGGGTGATCCCGGTGTGGCTAAATCTCAATTATTGAAGTATATTACAAAAGTTGCCCCTCGTGGAGTTTACACAACTGGTCGAGGAAGCAGTGGAGTTGGTCTTACCGCGGCAGTTATGAAGGATCCAGTCACGGATGAAATGATTTTGGAGGGAGGAGCATTGGTTCTTGCTGACAACGGTATCTGCTGTATCGATGAATTTGACAAGATGGACGACAGCGACAGAACTGCTATCCACGAAGTCATGGAACAACAAACCATTTCTATTTCCAAGGCTGGAATTTCTACAACACTCAATGCACGAACCTCCATTCTAGCCGCAGCAAATCCCTTGTATGGCAGATACAACCCACGCATATCCCCCGTGGAGAACATCAACCTCCCAGCTGCGCTCCTCTCTCGTTTTGATGTACTTTTCCTCATCCTCGACACCCCTACCAGAGATACAGACGCCCTCTTAGCCCAGCACGTAACATACGTCCACATGAACAACAAACACCCAGACACAGAAGGAGTCGTTTTTAGCCCAGAGGAGGTACGCCAGTATATCGCCAAAGCAAGAACTTTCCGTCCTACTGTACCCACTTCAGTCTCAGAGTATATGGTTAAAGCATATGTTAAGATGCGAGAACAACAATCCCGAGACGAGAAAAACAAGAAGCAATTCGCTCACACCTCACCCAGAACACTTCTTGGTGTTCTTCGTCTCTCACAGGCACTCGCCCGTCTGAGATTCAGTGAGACCGTTGTTCAAGATGATGTTGACGAAGCCCTCCGATTGATCGAAGCAAGCAAGGAATCGCTCTACCAAGACCAAGACGGCTACAGAAAAGATAACTCTCCAAGCTCGCGTATCTACAACCTGGTTCGCGCACTTGCTGAGTCAGGGCAATGTCGACCAGATGATGCGGACGAGGACGACAATGAGACTTTGGGCATGGAATTAAGTATGAAGAAGGTCCACGCCCGAGTCCTCGCCAAAAGTTTCACAGAAGACCAATGGCAGGCTGCTGTTTTGGAGTACACGAACCTTGATGTAAGTTTCACATCTCACTCTCCTCTCGTTCGTTTACTAATCCATCGCAGATTTGGCAAACAGCAGGTAATGGTACACGACTCATCTTCATCGTCTCGGAGGCAGCACATATGGCACGAGACGCTGAGTATGAGATGGCATAGGCCTAATTCATTATGGGTTATGGTTACGAGTATGAATATAGGCGTCTCAGGGTCCCCGTTGTTTTGTTTATCTCGATGAAAATCAGGCGTAACTAGTTGATACCGTTATTAGAGTAGAGCACGTCTAATTGAATACTGCTACTTTTGTCAACATGACGATCCATGATTATCTTATTAATATTTAGTCCTCTCAGTGACTTAGTACTGTGTGTATGGTAGACCGTTCGTAGTCTCATCTGTGTATATATAATCCGACCTATAACCTCGCCTTCCCCTTCGACCGTTCCCTCGCAGTCCGTACATGTCTCCACGCAAGTCTCCCCGTCGGATGTCTCAACTCACCATTCTCCCTCGCCTTCGCACTACTCGCCTGCCGCGCCGCATATCTCGCAGCAATCCCCTGATAAATACACGTCGCGCGAAAAAACCCAAATGCGATTCCCCAATTCAGTTCTGGAGACGGATCCCAACCGGTGACCTCGCCATACCATTTCACCAGGTCCTTTGCCGATGGGAGACCGGGAGTCTCACCTGGGCTGAATCCGGGGATTCTGGAGATGTCGGTTTGGTCGTTGAGGTGGTAGGGAGTCATGAGGTTGACGAGGTCGGAGAGGGGGTGGCCGATGGTTGACATTTCCCAGCTGTGGATGTCTGTTAGCTTTTCGTTTTTTTATGGTGTTTGGAGGGATTTACTCGAGAATACCAATCACCCTAGGCTCAGACTTGTGGAAGACCAAGTTATCGATTTTATAGTCTCCATGTATTGGCGTACCACGATCTCTGGGCTGTAATTTCCGATCACCGAAAAATTCCAATATCTCTTCAAGATAAGGCATCTGTCCAACCGGCTCTTTCGTCTCGACATCAACGGCTTCAGCTTGTGCCTTGCTAATCGTCTTGAACGTCTTAATCTGACGATCATAGAACCCAGACGGTCTACCAAACCCCTCCAATCCAACATCCACCGGTTTGATCCGATGCAGCTTCGCCAGCGTCCTAATAGCATCATGCCACCTGCATTAAAATCAACATATATCGTCAAACAAACCGGATCTGTACAAACATCTCAGTCCTCTCCGCCGGCGAAACATCCGGCATCGTCGCATCCTCGATAATCCTCCCATCCAGAAACTCCATGATATAAAATGCCGTCCCAACAATACTCACATCCTCACAGAGACAATATGCCTTGGGGACTGGTACATCCGTCTTCTCCAAGGCGTGGATGACCTTGTATTCGCGCTCCACCTGATGGGCGGTCTTGGAAACTAGTTTTCCAGGCGGTTTCTTGCGCATCACGAATTTCGTGCCATTGTTGGCCGTGAGTTGGTATGTAGGATTCGATTGTCCGAATCCGAACTAGGAAAGTAATTAATTAGCGGAATCCTGATATCATTACGGTCTCGCTCGAGGTGTAACTTGTAGATGCTTTAGTGGGGGTACGATGGTATATACCTGTTTGACGTCAATTGGGACTTGGATTTCGGGGACGTTTTTGGAGATGTAGCGCTCCAGAGCTTGGATGTCGATAGGTTGTCTTACGGCACCTGCCATTGTATCGACTGTGGTAGTTTGACTGAGTTGTTGCTGAATTGAAGCATTTTGCGGGGCGTTGCACGATGTTATCTCAACAACACTCGACAGCCTCGGCCTCGGCTCCTGACGTCCCCAGGCAGGGCCCCAGGTTTAGGCGCAAAAGCCTAAAGTCTTCCTTGAAACCTTGACGGCTCCTTGCCGAGATTGTGGGGAAGTCCTGAATGAGAGTCGTTACAGTAACATTGGATTGGCAGTACTCGGGTAAAGCAGCCGAATCATACATTCTAGAAATATCTTCAAGGAATTTTGTAAAACAACATTGCTTGGGGTATTAAAAGTACTAGTATCCACCAAAAAACCCCTATAAACCCCTTCCCTTTTCCTACCTACAGTTATCAGCTTACTTGCACAAAACCACGCTTTTTCTGTGATCCCAAATTTTCCTCTGTATCCCACGTATCTTCATCTACATAATCCTTAACTCCCTTTTCTTTCACCTGGGCACCTATGACTCTCAATGCCGCAAGATTATATCCCATCTCATCTTTCTGCTTTTTCAACGCTTGTCGCAGATTTATTCGAATGCCATCAAGCATCAAACGCATCGTTCTGCTAGCCACAATTTGTCGGTGATGAGTTTTCAACATAAAGAACAGAACTCGGCAAGTCAGAGGTATATTCATCAACCTTGTCGCAAAAATGTTGAGAAACGTAAAGAGCATTGGTAAAGTCGAGAAGGGAAGAACTAGCAGAGCATCTTGGAGTGCTGCGGCTTTCACTCTCTGAATCACTGACAAGACATGCGCTTCTGCACTTATGCCACCTAATGCCATGAAAAGTGGGTTGCGAGCTGGTGATGCGGTGTTTGGTTGTGTTGCCTTCGCCAGCTCCCATTCTTCCATGAGCTTTAAATCAACCATGCCAATTTCCAGGGCCTCGGCAATCTTTTCTCCAGCCATGAGAGTCTCGATTGTTTGTTTCCCTGCGGTTCCAACCTCTGCGGAATTCTCTTCGCCGTCCTTTTCAGGTTCTAGCGAAGTAGTCAATGTACTTTCGTACAATTCCTCAAGTTCCTTCTCTCTCTCTTCTTCTAGAAAGATCTGCTCGTCGGTTTGCTCCCACACTCTTATACTCTTGTCATGACTTGCGCTGACCAGAAAGTTCCCTGTCCTGCTGACGGCCAATGCCCAGATCTCGCTATGATGACCATCTAACCGTTGGATCTGTTCAAATTTGTCGCCATCCCAGTACTTGATCATTCGATCCTTGCTTGTGCTGAAAAAGTGATGTCCATTCCCATCTTGATTGTGAGGGACAAATGCAACCTGCAATATACTATCTTGGTGCGCAAAGAAAGCCTTATGGCAATCACCGAAATCTAGACCCCAAAGTCTAACATTCTTGTCTGCCGAGCAAGTCACGATCAACTTGCTATCGAAAGAAATGTCCATGTTAAGCACAGGCAACTTGTGCCCATATAAGTTGAGGAAGAGTTTCAACGAGTCGACGAAGAAAACCTTGACTGTGTTATCTAGAAGCGCGACTGCCAATAAACGAGAGTCAGGAGAGAATCGAATGCTAAGGATATCATCCGAAACCTTGAGCGTCCTTGTATGGACAAGCCTCAGGCGTGGAGTTGTTCGTTTGGTGCCAGGAATGTCTTCCTGGAAGATTTCAAAATTCCAGAACTTGGTAGTCTTGTCGGCACTTCCTGAGGCTAACGATCGTCCATCCGGGTGTACTTGGAGGGTCCATATCGCTCCCTCATGGGCTTTAACAGTATCAAGCATAGCAGCTGATGCGACATCGAATAACTCCAACTCACCAGTTTTAGTACCAACAACCACAATCTTATCACCTGGAAGGAACGCGACACACAACGCATAGCCACATTCAAATGTACGAATGCAAGTGCTTGTCCGGACGTTCCAAATCTTCAAACCGCCATTCGATGCAGATGCCAGCATTCGATCGTCCGAGCTAAGCGAAAGGGCTCTAACATCAGCGCGATGTCCAGGTAACTCAACTGAGAGGGATCGTGTATAATCTGGCAACTCCTCACTCTTCGCTTTCTTTGACTTCTCTTTTGTCGGTATACTATACACCTCCAATTGGTTGTTTGTCGTAGCCGCGATAAGTTGAATAGATTTTGATCCCTTCGTATGAACCCAGTCGAGCGACCTAACCTTCCCTCCTGTTCTTACAATAACATATGAAACAAAAAAGTCGCCAATTTCGGCAGTCGAGGCGTCCTCGGATTTTTCGTCTAGATCCCCACCATCCACATCCATTGCAGAGCCCATTTTTTCACGTCTCCTTTTGCGCTTTCGTGCCAAACTCTTCTTTACCTCCTCTTCTGATCGTATTCTCCATATTTCTATCGCTTTCTCCGATCCGTGTACAGCAAAATAATCTAATCGAGGGTGAAAACTAACTCCAGTAGCTTTATCTTTGCCTTGTCGATGTAGCACACCGCGATCATGTAGATATCGATTTTCGGCGGTCCCATTGACCTGGGTTGAAAGTTTGAAAAGTCCGGCAGTATCAATCGACCAGACCTTCAATTCCCCATCGTTTCCAGTGGTAATGCACCCACTACCATCCGGAGAGACACCAAGAGACCAACATTCTCCATTTGTTTGAGCGACATGAGTTTCGATACAATGCTGGGAGGATATATCCCATAACTTGATCAAAGCATTTTTGCCAGTGGTAAGGAGAAATCCTTCCACATCAACAGGATCGCTAGCAATTTCAACAGCTTCTTCTCCATCCTCGGAAGACAAGACCGGTGCTTCTGGCTGAATAAACTCCAAGCCCGTCACTTGGTCTTTATGCCCTCTTAGCTTGAAAAGTCCAACCTCGGCTACTAGGTCCCATATTATCACATCGGTATCTTTCGATCCACTGGCTAGTCTGACGCCTGACTTGTCGAACGCAAGAGTGGTAATAGCGGATCTATGGCCATTGAAACTCACTATCGCAGTGGCGATTTTCGAATCCCAAAGGCGTATGCTACCATCTTCGTATCCCGCAGCGTACACATCGATGTCGACTTGACTTTGCGCGAGGGCGGTGACTTGCGAATTGCAGTCCTTATCTTTCCATCGACTGAGTAACTCCCCTTTTCTTATGTCCCAGCAAAGAACGTCCTCATTGGCGGCAACAATAGCTCGTCCGGAGCTGCCACTGCGCGAACCTGAACCATCCGCCGACCAAACAACATTTGCGGTGCTAGAATTGACGACTCCGAATGTTTTCGAGTGCTCGTACTTTCTGCAATTGATACAATGAGTGATATGGGCATGTACGAGATCTCAAAAAAACTTACAAATAAGACTTGACCATCTTGTGGTTGGGCTGGTGGGGGAGATCAATTCGCGACAATAATTTTTTTGCGACAAGGACTGGTATTTGGTTAGTGCTGTGGATAAGCACCAAAGTGTATATCGCAGCACGGGCTTGAGCCGCAGCCGTAGCCGCAGCCACAAGGACCGACGACCGCTTAGGTAGCTTCACTGCCCCACCAGAACCATCGTCAGCATCCAACCCAAATCAAGTCAACAAGCTCAAGGCAGACCATTGGCATTTGGGACGGTCTGGTCTTTCTGCAAATTACAATACTCAACGATCCGCTAAAATGCTGCTCTTAGACTACCAGAACGTTCTGATACAGTCGGTTCTCACCGAGAGGTTTTCCGGGTTGGTTGCGCCTCATATTTCTAACACCTCCTGCTAACCCGGTATGAAGCGCTCCTCCTGTCAACATTGACCAGACGGTGTCAGACTTCGACGGTGTCACCTTCCATATTTCCACTCCCGAAGCCAAGTCGAAAATCGTCGTCTCGATACAGATCCGATGTTACAATGATCTCTTGAAATACGGGGCACAACAGGTTCTGGAGCGGGAGTATGGCCCTTGCGTTATTGCCCCAGAGGCTGGTTACAATTTCTCCGTGCAAATCGATCTCGAAACTCTGCCAGAGGATAAAGGTGCGTGTTTGTCTTATATCCAGGGCTTTCAACTAACACAACCAAGAGGCACGGGATGACATTATTCGGAGGGTGTCGTTGTTAAAGAGAAATGCTATGGCTGCGCCATTCGAACACGCCTTTGACGAACATCACAAATTGGCAGACGAGGCATCCAAGTTTACATCAGAAGAAGCACCCCAAGGAGTTCGAGAAGGTGGCGATGTTATGGGCATCCATTACCGTGACGAAGAAGCAATCTACATCAAGGCCAGCCATGACCGAGTTACCGTCATCTTCAGTACGATCTTTCGGGAAGAGACCGACAGAGTATTCGGCAAGGTATTCATTCAAGAATTCGTTGATGCAAGGAGGAGAGCTATCCAGAATGCCCCACAGGTGCTTTTCAGAACGGATCCCCCGCTTGAGCTACAGGGTGTACCCGGAGTCAAGGATAGTGGAAATGGAGAGATAGGATACGTAACTTTCGGTGAGAATGGTTGGTATGGCAAGCAAATCCAAAGCTAACCGTCTCAGTTCTTTTCCCAAGGCATATGACCCGTCAAAGGCGCGAGGAGGTTATATCTCATATTCAAACCTTCCGCGACTATTTCCATTATCACATCAAAGCCTCAAAGGTAAGCGGAAATTTGATATGGGGATAGTACGATGACGCTAAACCCCCTTAACAGGCTTTTATCCACTCGAGAATGCGAAGACGCACTGCCGATTTCCTCCAAGGTAAGAATTTTCAAGTATCAATTATATGCATAACTAACCATGCAAAGTTCTTCGAAGAGCACGGCCAGAAAACGAGGAAAAGGAGAGAAAGACGGCCAGCGGAAGAACCTTCAAGGTTCAAGGGAGCTAAAAAACACTGTCGTGGACCTTTAAAATACAACCTGCAATCAGCGCCTGCCGATCCAAGGTCTTCGCAATTGATACAATTTCTATTTCTTTGCCCCACAACCTTTAACGCCAAATATCCCATGAGCCAGACATATACCCATTTAAGTGGCAAACATGGCAGTAAACAGAGTCCATTTGTTTACCTTTCCGTTGTCATGCTTGTACATCTGCGTGTAAACCCCACCGCTTGAGCTACGAAACATCATCAGCGCCTAACAATTACAAAGCTTCTCCTTGTGCGGAACTTACTTTGCATGATCCCATATCTTTTCCTTCTTGCGCCGTCCCTTTTCCTTTGCCTTCTGTTCCGCGAAGTGCCTTTCCTTCCCGATTCTGAAACGTTCTGCTCTCTCTTCTTCTGCAGTGAAAATTTTCGGTTGTGGGGCAAGAGCTGGAGACCGAGATCGAAATAGCTTTGCTTTTATCGACTGGCGTTTGCTGATCTCTAGCGTTGAAGCCTCGGAGTCTATTTGACCTTCGTTTTTGAAGAGTGATGTTTTGGAGTCCATCGATACTTGAGTTGTGTTTGGTGGATGTGAAAATGAAAGATTGAAATTGTGATTCCTGGCTCTTTTTTCGTGATCAGTGGGTTTTGGGATTCCTTGTGCTTGAATTTCATGATGGCGAAGAGGGTCTGGTCTTTTAAATCTTGAAGGTTGGATTTTGCCAAGTGATTAGTGGTGTTGTCAAAGGAGGTGCTTATGTGGCTGTGTAGAATCTCATGTGGTGGCATAGCCTGGAGGTGGCTTTGTCTTTAGGAGCACTAGTGCTTACCTACGATGGGGTCTGTACTTTTGTACTCGAGTAAGTTTATGTGAGCAAGCACATTTCTGACCAATTAAAATGTGCTGCGCAGGGGGGAAGTGTGGGAAGGTACGAGGAAGTGTGGCTAGTATGACAGTACAGATGGACAAAACTCTGGATGTACCTTTGAACCCCTATTACTTCGTATACTGGAATTCCTAGTTCAATTAAAACAAGCGTCTTTAATCTCTTCGGTTAATGAAGATATATTATTAGTTTGAATTATCGCAAATTGCTCGAGAACCATATTAATTATACGCGACTTTTGGAATAACATATTTTCTAATCTAGGTGTCTAGAGTTCCGCACAACTGTCTTACAGCTCAGGATTTAACTTTATCTGATAGTATATTACTGTACAGGGTATTTGGCAAGGTATTTTATGTGTAAATTGCTTCAACAAGTCTTTTTATCACAACACATGTAAATTAAATACCATAGTAGAATAATATCTAGTAATATATCATTTGTCCATCGCGGTCCCTACATTCTTTAAATCTATTTAGGTAGGGTTTATATACATTTTGAATGCTAGGTAGTGATGATTTTAGATGTGATGGCCCTGTGCCTTAAATCAGCGTCTTTTTTCTCCTTTTATAAGTCTGGGTTGCGAACTTGTGAAGCGTCTTACTCTTTGCACTACTTTTGAAACAGATTGTAAGCATTGATTTAATTATGGAAATCCTACAGCTAACACCATAAAATGAAAGCTCGTACAGGATTAGTAATTTTCGGATTTGGCAGTCAGACTAAATAAGTCATTTCCACCAAATATTTGGGGATTTTGGGGGTTGCGATAATTGAGTTCTTGAAAAGTAACGTCTGGTTAATTCAAACCAGGGTCTTATGTGTAGAGTATATTATTATTGAAGTATTATTATTAAGCTCTTCTGACGAAGTAAGCGCTTTAGCTACCTGCATAAGTATGTAGTAAAAGATAAGTCTGTAAGTCAAAAAGAGTTCAATACAGGGATGGATACCTCTTTCTTTCTGAAAGTTTACTATTATATTCACTATTCTTTTGAACCTGTCCAACCCTTCAGTAACGTCTGACACTTCCAACTTTACTTCTGTTTTAATACCCAGCGGCTGAACACTTGACAGTAATAACAGTAGAAAACCTTTCCAAAGCGAGTTACATCCTGAATGTTGAAAGTTCGGATCAGCTAACCGGGGCTTTTCGTCTTAGCGGGAATTTCTAAATACTTCACGTAGATACTTTAGCTATACTCGTCTGATTCGTTGGCCTTGGCTTCATTCCATCTGGTTGCTGTGTTGGAAACCAATATGAGTCGCTAAGGAACACCTGCTTCAATGCCCAGATCTGGTCGTCCTTCCGAAGTCTGTATATACTTGTATCTGAAGCTGGGGGAAGCGTAGGGAGTTGGTATGTGAATTTGCGTAAAACCTCATGTTTTATTAGTTTCCCACGAGGAAAGCTATTATGGTCCCTCGTATATGATAGTTTCAGTGAAATATATATTTATAACGCTTGTCTATTGGAACAATTTCTTCGCCTGTATCCAACTCCTTTCTAACTACTTTGACTCTATTTTACTTTTTCATCACCTGGGAGCGTACTCCCTTTGTACACAAATTCAGACGAAAAGGGTATCGTTGCTGTACTAGGATTTAGAGAAGAAATCTAACTTATTGCCCGTGGGGTTTAAGGAGAACTGAAAAAGTAAGCATCGGATGCAAATGCACTGTCGCTATTCATAACACAATGAATGAACTTTTCGCCTACTACATTACCGTGGGGTTATTAGACCAATATCGATAGATTCTAGCTTCCAAAAGATATATGACCCCCATAGGAGATTCCTGGCAGCCAGGACACTAGTATCTAGCGGGATCTGGAAGTTCCCTAGAAGCGAGAGATCAAACCCCGTATATCTATACTGGAACATTAACAAAAATGAAATCTCTCTTATTACTATATTTAGAGATCTTTGTTCATTGGGCGTCCAGATTTGAAATCTTCAGACGTTTGTAAGGAATATATTTACGCTCTTTTCGTAGGGAAAGAAGCACCGTGAGTGCATAAGCTAGCAAGTAAGCAGCAATATAGGTATGTTTTCATACATAAAGTTTTGGAAAACACCAGTCAAACAAGCTTAGGACACAACTATCAAGCTTTCTTGCCAGTAGAAATGCCCTAAGGAGTTGTTAGACTTGATTATCTGGAACGAGGGTAATTGGTATTATGTCTACAGCCGCAACCAAAAATGCACCCGGAAAAATTTATTGAAATTATCAACCACGGACAGCGGATTAAATGGTATTATCTGAACATCCTTAATTCGTCAAATAGAAATATACTGTCAACGGTATTTCTACTGTCGACAATGAATAAGCGTTCGTCTACCTGATGTGGCTATCGTGGTGACGGTTCGATTAGCATGGAACGCTTCGCTTTGTTTCAGCATTCGAGGTTCGCAAACGAGGCCAAAAGTGGATCTTGTCCAGGATTGAGATCCTTCCTCGTCTCAGCCACAGGCTGCAATTACTACTGTGGTGCTGCTATTATTGCTCACGATGTCCCTATAATTTATAATATCTACTGTACTATAGCAATCTAGAATAAGAAGGTGCCATTCTCTGAAATTGGCTGATGACCTACTATAATCTTATGACTGAGTGGTTGAGGGCTCTCGTCTTTTGAAGTTAGGTTATCATGGATAGATTCGATATTTAGCAGTCTTACGGATCCCATTGTAATCCGTTCTTTTAGATCCATCGTCGGCGCCCCGCAGATACGGTACCCCTGTTCATGTTACAATGCAGAGCATTGATTTTTGGGCATCAGATTAAAGACCTAGTGGGAGCAGAAAAGTTAATACCTTATCGACTCCTAGTCGATACCTTATATATACCTAGTTAATACTATATTGATAACTAAAAAGATTTATAGAATATTAAAAAATTAAAAAAATCGATAATCTTTAAACTTACTTTAATTAAGTAGAATACTTAAACAAATACCTTTATAAGCTTATAAATTATTAAAAATACTTATTCTATTAAGAATTTATAATTTTCTTATACTACCTTGCCCCTTTAAAATCGCTTTACTTATAACTACTTACCTACCCTTCCTTACCTAGAATTAACCCTAAAAGTGTAACGGAACGGTGAAGGATACTGCTATTCCACTACTTAGAATCTAAAGCTAAGGAGAGAAGAGCTATCTGAGGAGAAAACCCGAGGTTCTTATGCCAGAAACACCACACATCCAACAGCTCCTTATCCTCCGCGTCTCCCACATCCCTTATCACGCCACGATGAGGGATTTGATGTGTTGTCGTGTTTGCTTAAAGAGTTTTCTGAGGGATTTGTGTGTTGGCATGTTTGCTTGAAGAGTTTTCCTTCATTGTTTGTTTGCTTGAAGCGTGGGACATGCATGCTCGCTTAGGCAGCCACTTGTCCCGCGGTCACGAGGAAGAATAACCGAATCGCGACATTCGACCCGTGACAAAAAGTCGTACTTTACTTTATCTTATAAAGTTAGAAAAAAGTAGCTTAAAAATATAACTATTAAATACCCTATACTCTAATAAGTTATTAATATCTAGCTTAATTTATAGTAATAGCTACTAAAGTATACTTTACTTCTATATTCTTAAGGGTTAAATATTTATTACTAGAAAAAGGTAACTATAAAACACTTTATACCTAAAGAAAATATTACTATCTAGCCTAATTTATAGTAATAGCTACTAAAGTATACTTTACTTTTATATCCTAAGAGAGTAAAAAAATAGATAATAATTATATACTAGAAGTATATAATATCTAATAACTATAGTTACTTAATAAGCTATTACCTACCTAGTAAATACTACTAGTGTTAGTACTATTCTTATCCTTAATCTTAATTTATATATTAACTCTACCTACCTTATACTACTTTTTCTCTACCAATAATAATAATAATAATAATAATAATAATAATAATAATAATAATAATAATAATAATAATAATAATAATAATAATAATAATAATAATAATAATAATAATAATAATAATAATAATAATAATAATAACCTAGGTTTTTTCTTTAGAGATAACCGTATATATTAACCCTTCTTTTACTAAATATAATTAATTATAAGTTCTATTATAAGGAGTTTAGGGGTTCTATTATAAAGACTTTAGAGGTTCTATTATAAGAAGTTTAGGGATTCTGTTATAAAGAGTTTAGAGGCTCTATTATAAGGAGTTTAGTTAGAAACTTGATTAGTATACTAATTACTACTATCTTATGTACTAAAGGTACTATAACTCTTGAACCTCTTTATATTCTATATATTTAACGCTTCCTATAAGCGTGGTAGTATTTCTTACCTATTGTCACGGATGTGTCACGAATCACGTAAGCATGTGACAAGTGAAGACCAGGCGGCGTCCTGACAGGTCGAGCACTATCATATCTCTTATAGCAAATAGGGATAGTCTTCTTCTTATCATAGCATACCAACCAGCGAACACCCAGCCAAGTTTAGTTAGCCAGTTTGAGTATTCGTTACAGGATGCCAACAAAGGATAAAGTGTATACAGCTTTTGAATCAATTGCTAGAACTAAAACCGTAGGTACGAAGAAATCAAACTAAAGAGAGAAGAGAATCTGAAAGGAGCGAAGTTATTTAAGTTGTTCCAATGCCAAGTCTCGTCACGTGCTTGGCCAAGCGAATGAAATCCTGTCAAATGAAATCCAGCTCCGTCACACCTATAGTAGACTTTATAATTAATAATTTAGAAAAGATATAATAAAAGACTAGATATACTAGCTTTAGATATTATTATTAAATAAATTAATACTTTAAAATCTATCAGTTTTTCTTACTTCCTACTATAATATTATATTAAAGAAATATAAAATAATAAATAACTAAATAATAAA